CAGTGAGCCATCGTGCTCATGTCCCTCATTAAAGGCAGGTTTATATTTATAATTATTGATTGTCGGAAGTACATCTAGTCTTAAGCGGCCTGAACATATGCAGATAGCCGCATGCATCTTCTTCTGTAGGAGCTCTCTCAGCTCTTATATTCCTCTGACCTTTTGCCGAACTTTCTGCCATTAGTCTGAGTCGAATTTGAGCAGAGTGCATATTTAAAAGTGTATACTCTTTCCTTTTCATCTTGTGCTGAAGTTTCCTGACAAGCCAGAGGGGATGCAAATCAACGTGATATCTGGAAAAGTGCATTAAAGTGATAAGTTTATTCCACAAGCATGAAAGGGAATGGCAAAATAAGGTATCTGGCTCAGAGTGCTGCGCTACTGGCGAAGCAGAGACACTAATCAGACACAAGCCTTCAGAGAGAGAGAGAACCTGCCTCACCAGTACAGACTGCAAAGACGACAAATCATAGACATACTGAGAATCCATATTTCATTTCAACAGGGACTGTAAATTATGAAGGGCTAACAAGGAGTGATAAGTTAATGCTGAGGCTGTGATTATATATAGAAAAAGCTGTTGTAAAGACTGTAAAACTAGGATATTTATTTCAACCATATACGTACTGTATATACCCCATTCAATTGCTCCAGACATGTCAATGCATCTGCCATCTTAAAAACAGTCAAAATTTCTGTTAACCAAACACTACTTGAAAACAGGAGATGTGTGCGACAGTAGTTGTCAACTACAGTTCCGTTCACACAGCACTTGTTTACGGAATATGTGCTTGTGAGTCCTGAAAATTAAGTTCGATTTAAAATTTGGTTGTCACTCTTGTTAATAAGCGAACTGTTTGTGAACATAACTGCATTTACACATTTGCGATTAAAAATGCAAGGTGCACGGTAGTGAAATAAAAACACAAGGTATTCACACACGTTTTTTTGTTATTTTAGCTTTTCTTCCCAGGTGAAAAAGACGTAGTATTAAATGTATTAAAAATATACTTGAAATTCAAGTAGTATGTTTATAATACATTTGTATTCCCAACATGCTTATTTGAAGTGCAATCAAAATATATTGAATTGCATTTTAATATATTTCTAAAAAGTATACTAGAAGTACTTTTGTATTAAATATATGCTTAGTTATACTTCTAAGAAATATGCTAAACAGAAGCATACTTTTAATGTATTTATAAAAAGCATACTAGAAATACTTTGGTAATAAATATATGCTTAGTTACACTTTTAAGGAATATGCTAAACACAAGCACACTATTAGTATATTTCTAAAAAGTATAGTAGAAATACTATGTTAATAAATATATTTTTAGTTACACTTTTAAGGAATATACTAAACACAAGCATACTTTTAGTGACTTTGTAGTGTATTTACAGAAAACATACTTATGTTACCCTTACTTAAAGTATATTTTATGTCTACTTTTGTGTAAGAACATAAAATGATTACACTTTTAGTGGGTTTTTAAT